AAATTTGAAATTCAAACTTGGCGCCACTTTGGCTAGTTTGAATTGCCGCCAACTTTGACCTAGTTTCTTCCTATAAATGTAACTCTTACCACCTTGTATCAACACTTTTGAATATATGAGAATTTCTGAACATTACCTTCAGCTAATTCCCTCAAGAGTCACCGAAATATCCAAGAGAGAAAACCTAAGAGAATGCCTTCAAAAACCTTAGGAAAACCTAGTTTCCTTCACTTTGAAGTGTGCAATCCCTTGAGTCCTTGAGCTTGGATGCTTCCTTCTTCCATTTCAGCAAGTGTTCTTCATCTTCACGAGTTCTTCAAGTGTGTTTCTATCTCCATTGAAGAAGATCCGAGCCTAGGAGGAGTTTAGGAAGAGTTTGTGTTTCACTACTTCTACTCACCTCCATCACAAGCCCTCTCCTCAACACGGGTCTTGGGGTGGACCATCTCGGCATGACATTGTGAGACCATCGCAAGTAGGGATGGCAACGGGGCGGGTCGGGTACGGGTTTCATGATACCCGCCCCCGTCCCCGCGAGTTAAATCCATCCCCGTCCCCATACCCGTCGGGTTTAGATTTTTATCCCCATCCCCGTCCCCGTTGGGTATCGGGTATACCCGTACCCGTCAATTTTTTTATTTTTTTATTTTTTGTAAAAAAAATATTTTTTTAAAATATTTTTTATTTATTATATTATAATTATAAATAGGTTATTTTTTTTTATCTTATATTATAATAAATAATCACACATAAAAAAATATTAAATTTTTTTAATATAATTAAATTGAAAGTGAGTATTAAATTAAAAATGAGAACGGGAACAGGTACGGGTACGGGTACGGGGCGGGTAAGTACATACTCGTACCCGTACCCATACCCGATTTAATATATCGGGTTTTATCCGTACCCGTACCCGGTCAAACCGGGTATTTCCCGTCAAAGTTGGGATGGGTTCGGGTATTACCTGCGGGTACGGGTATGTTTTCCATCCCTAATCACAAGCTCGTGTGCCAACACATAATGGAAAAAAAACGCTTCTTTTTGGAGGTGCAGCACCCGTCGGGCAGCCCACAACCCCCCTATCAAGATTCCTAACACTATGCATGACCCTATGCAGGTTGCCACTAAATCAGTTATCTTACGAGACATGGGTGAGGGCGGTCTCTCAATTAATAAGCTCCACCACGTATAGGGTATTCGCTACACCATGCTAAATGACAATGAGTCCATAGAATCAGGCATGGATAATTCTTTGAGGAAGGAAAATAATTTGGAGGGGGTGGCACACTCTCTAGCAACCACCATGGAGGAATAATTAGTCTGAATCCTTGTCATTCTAGATCCACGTTGTTGTTATCATGTTATTTGAAGATATGAATATCCTAGCATGGAACATTCGTGGTGCGGTCAACGCCAAAGGTAAACGATGAACCAGGGAGCTTGTATCCTGCTACAAACCTAGTATTATTTTTCTCTTGGAAACACACTGACCTTTACAAGTTGTTGCTCCATTCTGGCATAAACTTGGCTATGACATTCATGGACTCTTTGAGGCGCTAGGGCATGCAGGAGGTATTTGGGTTCTTATTCGAAAGGATCGCAACTTCCGCACTGATATTTTTGAGATTTCCAGTCAAGCGGTCACTATTAAACTGAGCAAAGGAAACACCAGCTGGTTTTGTTCTGCCATTTATGCTAGCCCGCATGCAAAACAACGTGATGGTCTTTGGCAATATCTAAAAGAGTTGCGCCTACGAATTCCCCAACCTTAGCTCCTTTTAGGGGACTTTAATGAAATTCTATCTCGTACTAAGGTAAGAGGGGGGCTCTTCTCCCTTGGTTGGACCTCTAAATTCCTTGACATGATTAACGCTTGTGACTTAATTGACCTGGGAACTTCGTGTTATAAGTATACGTGGTATAGAGGCACCGAGCATGGTCGTGTGGCAAACTAGCTAGACAAAGGGTTGGGTGATCACTTTTGGTGCCAGAACTTCCCGAAAGCGTATGTGGAAGTCTTAAATCGTGTGTACTCTGATCATTGTCCATTACTGTTATGTTGTGGTGGTTTATAGGAACGTCAAGGGGATAGGCCGTTTCGTTTCCTTGCCTCTTGGGCAACACACAAAGATTTCTCTCAGGTTGTGTCAACAGCGTGGAACAAAGGGGCTCCTAGAATATGTGAGGGATTGAAATTCGTCCAGGAGGATGCTTTACGCTTTAACAAACATGATGGCATCCTCACTTGCATGGACATGAGATGATGGACAAGGAAGATGATGCCTAACTCCAAGGATCAAGTTCTTCAAAGGTGGCACAAGGTTTTAGGGTGGATGATGATAGAATGGATGAAAATGGAGGTTGGGTAGAAGGTGTTTGAGGAAATGCTTGAGAAGGGTACTCTAGGGTTGGCTCACTTCATGATGATGAAGGCCACTTCTAGGGTTGTTTCTCTCAAGGTGGAGATGGGAGGGAGGTGGCCGAATTAGCCAAGGGTGACTAAGGAAAGATATAAAGGCACAAAAGGCTCTCTTTATATTCAATATCCAAAGTATTTACAAGGTGTGGTGCATTGGGTATTTATAGGAGGGGAGGCATCTAGGGTTGCATTTGGAGTAGGCAAATGCATTCCAAATGAAATGCAAATGAACCCTAGATGCAACTTGGTGGCCAAGGATGGAATCTTTGGGTTTAGATTGGCTATATCTAGGTGCATGATAAGACCATGCAACCTTTGCCCTCCACTTGGGCCTAAGCCTTTCTAACACCAAAAATAGACCCAATAGGCACCAAAAATATGTGTCACCCTCTAATTAACACCCTAGCCCAAAATTAAAAACCCTAATCATCTAGAGCACCCCATAATACAAGGGTAAAATGGGAAATACAAGGGAAAATAAATTCTAAAAGTCCTAAACACCCCAAAATACAAGGGTAAAATTGGAAATACAAGTAAAATAAATTCTATGACTAAAATACCCCAAAGTACAAGGGTAATTTTGGAAATACAAGTAAAATAAATTCTATGACTAATTAATACTATCAAATTATTTTAATTTATAACTATCAATTATGTTGTTAGTAAACTATTAAAATAATATTTTTTAAATTACGTAAACTAAAATAACAAATTTTAAATTTAAGAGATTAAAATAATAATTCTTATATCATAAAAATTAAAAATATATATTTTAAATTTGAATGATTAGAAAATATAAATATTAAATAAAATAATATTTTTCTCTTGAAATTATAAGAACTAAACACATAAATTTTAAATAAGGAGAGAAAAAATAATAATTACTGTAATTTTTGAGTACTTGAAAGCACAATTAAGCGTATAAATACTAATTTTAAATTTGCTCATAATACCCGTACATGTAGAGGGATATATATAGATTTCTTAGCTCATAATACCACCACAGAATGGGCCGGGATAAAGATGCATAGATAAGAGAAATTGGATTTTCACCGACGAACGAGATGAATACTTGCACATTTATTATGAATTCCGTTCAAGTTCCTTCTCCTATGTTGATAACGTCTTTTAAAACAGTTCCATCGTTCAAATGCTGCAGTAGGAGCTCAGATGAGAAGGAAAGAGATGATGTGAAGGACACAGTATCTGGAATGGTGGACGAGCAAGTTCAAGAGCTCTTGAGCAGAAAAGAGAACAAGGTTTTGCTGGACGGTTTAGAGAAGGCGTCGCAGAGGGTTGAGATGGCTAAGCGAGAACTTGCTTTGATCGAAAAACAAGAATTTGCTGTTAAGCAGTTGAAGGATTACGTCAACCAGCTTGAAAGCAAAGTTTTGGAGGTAATGATTTTTTTTCTTCATTGGGTATCTAATTCTTAGGATAAAAAATTGAGATTAATCACTTTATCCTACCAATCTTTGAAGGCACGAACGACCAATTGAATTGTAAAAAATGCCCCAAATCTGGTGGCTGGAATAGGGATTGCGTTTATGTAGATCTCTATAGTTTGATGGGCCCTACTGAAGCCATATTATTGGTAATGCATCTTCTCAAATAGCACCGATGGTCTTGGAACTTTTCTGATATATCAATATTAATCAAACCTTAATATTATTGGCATTGGCATTGCTAAAAGTTATAGCACCCTATTATCAAAGGGCTGCCTGTACATGATAAAAATGAAAAATGAGATAGCTTACACTATTTGTAGATTATCAAGTGAAAATTTACCAAGTCAACATTAATCAGTACTCTGTAACAGGGATAACATCCATCACTGTGAAAATGAAAGTTGAACCTTTAGCATCCCTTCCAAAGCTGCAGTTTCTCAGTCTGCTAGACAACAATAATACAAAGAAAGCAAATTACAGGCTTTATGTTATTAACAAGCTGAAATCCCTCTGGGTTTTAGATTTCAAGAAAGTGAAAAATAAGGTAACTTTTTTCTTTTTCCCTATGTAGATTTTGTTGGTAAGGTTTGCGTTGAATTAGAAAATAGATTTGTTGTTCAATTATAAAATCTGGATTTTAAGTTTGAGAAACAGAACTACCACTGGCTTGCACTGAGCACCAAGTCCAAGTGTGGAAATTTTACTACATATAGCTGTAGAACTAGTCATGTTAATTTTGATTGTCATACTCATGCTTAACATGATATTGAAATTATTATAATTAATATGATAGGATCATTTATAACTAATGAACTGTTGGTAGAGGGGTGATCTGATGGGTAACTCTCCTATGAAATGTCTCATGTGCCATTGGAGCTCAGAATCACTGACATGTTTTCAGTTTCTGTCATCAGTTGGTAATTTCTGGCCTGGGATATGTAGGCTTGAATATTTGTCATGTGGGTTGGATTATTTTTAGGTTTGTCATAAATTGAGGAGTTCCTCTGGATTTTCTTTAGTGGTTTGGGAAAAGAGGGACATTGTTGAGATTTCTTATCATCTGGTCTTTGGATTCTTGGTATGATATTTTTGTTGTTATTTTCATGTTTCATTATATCATATGTTCAAACTTAAAAGTTCTTATCTTTATGATTTAAATTAAGGGATTGGTTTACATTGGTGACAAACGTGACATTCTTGCACCATTCAATAACTTTAGTATGGTTTTTACTGGTCAAACTGTTCAATTATAACTCCTTTACTATGAAAGTTTGTGTCAAAGTTTGTAAAAATTGGTCAAAAATAAGAATATTATTATGCAGTTATTATTTTAATATATATCAATATATCGTAATTTATGTATATCAATGAAATACTTATTAAATAAATATGGTTTGAATATTTACATAGTTCCTTAATTTTTATAACTTTTTTGCACTGTTGCAGACTCCTCTGTCGTTACTTGCTTGAATGGTTTCTGCTATAGCTATATTTGTAAAATGATAATACCAATAACCATATTAAATTTTTAAGCCTTCTATTTATGTATGGTAACAACTATAATTCCTTAAGAGTGATTATATGGAAATTGATGCCTTCAATATGAGTGTTGTGTATTGTTTTCACTTGTTTCGGGAGTGTACATTGTCTCTGAAGTGATATAAATTTTCTGTTTCTGTACACTTAAAAGAAGAAAAATTGTCTTATCAATTTTTTCTAACTGAACTGCCACTTCCACCTAAATGTTTATATAACTTAAAAATTACCATCTTTATATTGATTTGGGTCTATTGTCACCCCTGTTGTTGCTGAGTGGTGTTTGTTGCATCTATAAGCAAGTCTTGGCAACTGCAAATTAACATGAAACCAAATTGCCACAAATAGGAATAGATTCTATAAATTATATGAACCATGTATATTGTGCATTCTAAGAATACCATTGACCGCAGAGAATCGTCATCCTTAGTGTTCCTAGTTCCCTAAATTAGTTAAAAGATAACGAATTATTTACAATTAAGGGTTAAGATTCAAAATTCTTTCTCTCTGACTTTAGAGAATCCTCATTATTTGTCTTAAGAAAGCTACAATCTGTTCATTTCAAGACCCCAGGTGCATTCTGGTAACGGGCAAGTCTCAATTGAGGTGTGGTCTGTTTTGAATTTTATGGTGTAATTGTGGGCACTTATATATATGACTATTTGGTATTGGATTTGAATATTCAATGAGATTGTTGTGTACTTCAACTTTGAAGTGCATGATGTCACTTATAGGGTTTAGGGTTTAGGGTTTAGGGTTTAGGGTTTAGGGTTTAGGGTTTAGGGTTTAGGGTTTAGGGTTTAGGGTTTAGGGTTTAGGGTTTAGGGTTTAGGGTTTAGGGTTTAGGGTTTAGGGTTTAGGGTTTAGGGTTTAGGGTTTAGGGTTTAGGGTTTAGGGTTTAGGGTTTAGGGTTTAGGGTTTAGGGTTTAGGGTTTAGGGTTTAGGGTTTAGGGTTTAGGGTTTAGGGTTTAGGGTTTAGGGTTTAGGGTTTAGGGTTTAGGGTTTAGGGTTTAGGGTTTAGGGTTTAGGGTTTAGGGTTTAGGGTTTAGGGTTTAGGGTTTAGGGTTTAGGAACACCAGCTCGCCCTTCAAAAATGCGACCTCATCTTCCACAGAGCGAACCTGTTCCCGAGAAGACATCACCTCGCCCCGGGTCGAGGTAAGCTCTTTGCTACCAATAATGACCTCATCGCGAGACGCTCCTCGGTCACCGACACCAGCTCGCCCTTCAAAAATGCGACCTCATCTTCCAGAGAGCGAACCTGTTCCCGAGAAGACATCACCTCGCCCCGGGTCGAGGTAACCAGCCCCTGCAACTCACCCACCCGAGAAGCATACTCTTCATTGGAGCGAAGGGCGATCTCCAAGGACTTATGGGCCCTGGCGAAGCCCCCCGTAGCCGTCCGAAGCTCGGCCCCTTGCATCTTTGCTTCACCAAGGGCGGCGGTCAGAACCCCGTTCTCCTCCTTCAGGACTTTATTCTCATCCTTCAGAGGCTGAATAAGGCTCCTCAACTTCGCCATGTCCTCCTGCTGCCTCGACCACTTGTGTTTCCAGTAATCCACAATGGTCGTTCCTCGCTGAAGGAAGATCTGGGCGGCATCAAAACTTCCCATTGGCCCGGCCGACTCGATCATCGCCTGATTAGCCGTGCTCAACGACCCCTTCAGGAAAAACTTCTCCAGAGTCATCGCGGCGCTCTGCAGAGAGTCGACCTCCTCCGATGCACTCAAGTGCTCCAGCTGCATGGGCACGCCCTCTTACGCATAACGATACGCAATATATATATATATATATATATATATATTATAAATAAATTAAAGATGAATAACTCTTTCAAAATCAATTTTTGTTTTATAATTATTTTTGGATCGTATAAATTTGATGATGGAATTAATCGATTTTTTGAATCATCAAAAATTCATATTTATATTTTTCAAATATATATTTTTGAATTTCAGTGACAATTTTTTAAAAAATTTCATGTATCTATTTTTTGTCACATTTTTTTACATATTAACTAATTTTATTTTGTATACTTTTGACAATGGAATTAATTAATGATGATATAATTTGTCAAAAAAATAAACCATATATTGTAACAAAATATTAATATTTTTTTTACTTTTGATTATATAACAATGTATAACTATAACAATGAAAGTGAATAATATTAGAGTGTATTAGAGTTTTCCAAAGGATGAGGATATTTGTTTTTTGAATGTTGAAATTTGATAAAGGGGATGACATTTGAGTTGTTCCCTTATTCTTAGGTCCATCTTAGTGTGTATACGACTTGATTTTAAGTGACCTTTCAAACTTCTTCACATGTTTAGATTATGGGACATTTGTGATCCATGATAGGTTGGGCAATAATTTGGGTGATGCATTTGGTGGAATAATCCTTTGCATGTGTTAGAGACATAGTTCAATGTGTACACTATATGTATGTATCTCATGTAATCAATTGCTACATGCTTGCTTCCCCCTCTTAACAAAATATTCATTTCACTTTTCATTTGTAGAGTTGATTAATGCACATACCAGTAGATTTCTTGATTTCTTTAGCATTAGGTTGATGGAATCAACAAGATTTGTAGTCATTTGTCCCCATCATCGTCCTCCGTCACATGCAAGTGTCCATTGCTGCTTGGGAATTTGATCAACCTAGTTACTAGCCTATTCATTTATTACCTTTAAAATATTTTATTGGTTGTTAAACTTAGGCTCTGTCATGACATACTATAAATTGTAATCACATAATTGTGATACTATCTAGTATGAACAACTTTTTTTTTGTGTTCATTCTTAAAATATCTCATAAAGTTTTGGGTGATGTGTCGAATGCAAGCAGATGCACGAAGTTTAGTGTCCAACCACTCCCAAGTTGTGAGTAGACACTAATTATTGAGATATGTTTGTAAAAAATAATGCAAAACTCATCTTATGATGTGACATGCTTTTTTTTGGTTCTTTAAGAAGAAGTACAAAACATTTGTTGTCTCCCCTTCAATAAAAGCAAAGACTATCAAGAATATGTGATTATCCCCATATCGTGCAACTGCCACTAATAAAGTCCCTCCATACCTTCCATACAAAAAAGTTCCATCAACTTGAATTATGAACTTGTAGTATGTACAACCATCGATGCATACTTTGAATGTCCAAAATAGATGATGGGTTTTGTCTTTGTTTAAAATGATTTGTTTAACTTTATCATGTATTGATAACGTTTGATGTTCAAAAATTGTTATGGAAATAAAAATTTTGAGGGCTTTAGCCAATATACGAAGCCTATTGTATGACTCTTCCTAAATCTCATACAACCTTTTGATAGCCATTGTTTTGCCAACTGCACTTTTCTACACATGGTGGTGTAACCATGATCCTTCCTTATTTTTGTGATGAAGGTTAGTACCGACAATGATGTATCTTATTCAAGCAGTGCATAAATGCTATTAGTAATGACCTTTACCTTCAACTTATTGTGATCTTATGATATTATTGTTGATACACAAGTATGAGATCCTTATAGAATTTTGATTTCCCATTTGCCCTTAATTTATCTCCCCATTGATGCCTTGAATTTTCGCCCACATCCTTTATTCGAACAATCAAGAACACATTACATAGTGTTGGACTTAAGGATCCTGTAAGTTACATGGTACTTTATGTGGTACAAGTTAACCCCATATTGAACTTCATCTTCAATCTTGAAGGTCTTGCCAAGAAAGTGTGAATTTATATCATATTGAATTTCTTCTTTGTGGTCTAAGACGTGTGTGAACTCAAGATCTTGATAACCACATTTTTTGTTTCTTTTGCAGTAGAGTTGCTATTTTTTATTTTATTGTTTTTGACTTTATTTTTTGTATTCAGTGTAGATTTTTTTATAATAAAAAATAATAATTTTTTTTTTTTTGAATTTATAAATTTAAGAATTATGAAAGTTACATATTTTTTGATCGATAAATTTTCTAGTTTGACATGACTCATTTTTTATTTATTATTATTAATAATAATAAAAAGAATTATCTTATTTGATATTATATGTTTGACTATTTTCACTTTTATAACTACCTATTTACAAATTACTATTTTTTATTTTTAAATTTCATTTTATATTTATCTATAATTTAATAAGTACTCATTTTATATAAATTATTATTATTTATTATTTTTTAGAATATCTTTTTGTACGCGAGTTTAATAATAATGCTTTTATAGTTATTTTCCTCGATCAAAACGTTTTTTTTATAATTATTTTTATAATGGTTCTAATTTTAATTTTAATTAAAAAGTGACACTTGAAATAAAAATGCGTTATTATATACTGTTCCGCGAATCGAGGAGCAAAAGCTTCACGACGCTGAAGGAAGTGGTTGAGGAGCTTCAGGCCAGGCTCGGCCACGACCTCACTCACAAGGTCGACTTCATCGCCTCCCAGCCGCGCAGGTCAACCTCCTCCTCGCCTCCCAGCCACTGCCGCCGAATACTCCGCTGAGCCGAAGGACAATTTTGGCCTTCCGCAAAGCCCTAATTTCCGCCCTGCCCCTGTCAGTGATGGGTTTCAGTCTTGGACCTTAGCTTCTGAGGCTCCTCCTCCCGCTCCCGCTGCTGAAGGCAGCGTGGTTCCCAGGGAAAGGTTAGATTTTGCTAAGATGTAATTGAAGATGTTTTGTTTGTTGTTTGGTTGAAAATCTTGAAAAATTAGGGTCAGCGGAAGAGGATTGGAAGACGATTGGAGTAATTAGTGTGCTTGAACAGTGAACAGTGCGTTTTTCGGATAGTGATGTTCTGGCTCCCTAAATTTTGTGAATTATACATTCTTATTGAATTTCATACATAGGGCGGATTCTACCGTGAACCCCCATTTTGGTGGTTCACCGGTGAACTATTTTATTATTTCATTAATATGATTAAATAACAATTGAATATCAATAGAAGAAAAATAAGATTTGTGAGCTGTTAATTTTTATTTTTTTTCTAATAAATTTCGATCGATTAAAAGAATTAAGCTTATGTTTAGTTGATTTTTCAGATAGGAAATAGAGTGGGCATTCCTAATTTTATAATCGATGAGTTAGGGTTTTAGTGTCCCAAAATGGTCTGTTACGCGTGTAAAGTGTGTAGAGAACCGTGATTCCGCGTGCGTCGTTTCAATCCATCGTCCTCTCTTTTTTGCCTCTCTCTACACAGCTACCCTTTAACTCTCTCGTACCCTTGCTCCCTTTGTGCTCTCCATCTATCACCCTGATTCCGTGAAATCAAACCACCTTGATCGTTGCGCTGTCACTGACCAGCCAAGTAAGAGATGTTGTTTTTAGAGACGCTTGCCCTTTGCAGTTTTATCAAGGCCTGACTATTCTTTCTGTGGTTATTTAAAATGTTTTTGCTTTGTAAATCACACTTTGTAATTTGATCAATGATGACTACTATCTACAGCTTTGGAAATGAGTCTCTATCTCTTGACCCTGCATTTTCTCTCTCTGGAAATGGTGCTGCCTCTGCCATTGTTCTAGATGCTTTTGATAGATACGAAGGGATCTTATTCAAGGAATGTGACATGTTCATTTTTCTCAGAACACTCATGCCTGTCTATGTTGTTTCCCAGATGAGCATCATGTTCATTCCCACAGTGGAAGAGGTGGGCCTTTTTCAATTATTTTTTTTGATTTCCCTTTCCTGGGTTTTGATGAATTTTTTATTTTGGGATTGGGAACTTGTGTTGCAGCTTCAACTTGGAGTGGATGAAAGAAAGCTACAATTTGTTCGTTTCAAGACCCTCATCTCACGCTCTAAATCCCTGCCATGAATCCCATTCTGAAAGCAACGTCTTTCAGCAATCATACCCTTCACAACCTTGCCCGTCTCTATGCTGCACGTAATCAAATCGAACTTGCTCGTCGTGTGTTTGATCAAATTCCAAAGCCAAGTATTGTTTTGTGGAACACCATGATCCGAGCTTATGCTTGGACTGGCCCTTTTCAACATTCAATTCATTTGTACCATCGCATGTTGCAACTTGGAGTGACACCCACCAACTTCACCTTCCCTTTTGTTCTCAAAGCTTGTTCAGCTCTGCAGGCAATTCAAGTTGGCAGACAAATACATGACCATGTCCTCACTCTTGGCCTGCAAACCGATGTCTATGTTTCTACCGCCTTGCTTGACATGTATGCCAAATGTGAGAATTTGTTTGATGCACAAACAATATTTGATAGTATGTCCCACAGGGATATTGTCGCTTGGAATGCCATCATTGCTGCCTTTTCACTTCATGCTCTTCACAATCAAACAATGCACTTAGTTGTTCAAATGCAACAAGCGGGAATAGCACCTAATTCTTCTACTCTTGTATCTCTTTTACCTACAGTTGGACAAGCTAATGCCTTACGCCAGGGGAAGGCTATTCATGCTTACTCTGTTAGGAAAATCTCCACTCATGATGTCATTCTTGCGACTGGGCTTTTGGATATGTATGCTAAGTGCCATCACTTATCTTATGCTCGCAAAATCTTCAATGCCGTGAACCAAAAGAACGAGATATGCTGGAGTGCTATGATTGGGGGATATGTTATTTGTGACTCCATGAGAGATGCTTTGTCCCTTTATGATGACATGATACATATGCATTGCTTGAACCCTACTCCAGTTACTCTTGCAAGCATACTTCGAGCATGTGCAAACCTCACTGATCTGAATAAAGGGAAAAACTTGCATTGTTACCTGATTAAATCAGGTATAAATTCAGACACAACAGCGGGAAACTCACTGATATCAATGTACGCCAAGTGTGGGATCATGGACGATGCACTTGGGTTTCTTGATGAAATGGTCACAAAAGATACAGTTTCTTATAGTGCTATCATTTCAGGATGCGTGCAAAATGGCTATGCAGAGAAAGCTATACTTATTTTTCGCCAGATGCAGTCATCTAGGATCTACCCAGATTCTGCTACCATGATAGGTCTACTTCCTGCATGTTCACATTTGGCCGCTCTACAACATGGGGTCTGCTGCCATGGATACTCAGTCGTTCAAGGGTTCACTGCAAATACCTCTATTTGTAATGCTATAATTGACATGTATGCAAAGTGTGGAAAGATTCATATCAGTCGGCTAGTTTTTGATAGTATGAATAAGAGGGATATTGTTTCGTGGAATACAATGATATTTGGTTATGCCATTCATGGGCTATACATAGAAGCATTTTCATTGTTCTGTGAATTACAGGCGTCAGGCTTCAAGCTGGATGATGTAACCTTTATTGCTGTTTTATCTGCATGTAGCCATTCAGGACTTGTCATGGAAGGGAAATATTGGTTTAATACCATGAGCCAAGACTTCAACATCTCACCAAGGATGGCACATTATATATGCATAGTTGACCTCCTGGCCCGAGCCGGAAACTTGGATGAAGCATATTCCTTTATTCAAAGAATGCCATTTGAGGCTGATGTTCGTGTATGGAGTGCATTGCTTGCTGCATGTAGGACCCACAAAAATATTGAAATGGCTGAACAAGTGTCAAAGAAGATTCAGCTGCTCGGACCGGAAGGTACTGTAAATTTTGTTCTTATGTCTAACATCTATAGTTCTGTAGGAAGATGGGACGATGCAGCCCATATTAGAAGCATACAAAGGCATCAAGGTTACAAGAAAAGCCCAGGATGCAGTTGGATTGAGATCTCTGGGGTAATCCATGGATTTATTGGTGGGGATCGATCCCATCCACAGTCAGCATCCATAGATAACAAATTACAGGAACTGTTGGTGCAGATGAAAAAATTGGGATATCGGGCAGATTCTGGTTTTGTTCTCCATGATGTTGAAGAAGAGGAGAAGGAGCAGATTCTCCTTTACCATAGCGAAAAAATAGCCATTGCATTTGGAATTCTTAATACCAGTTCCAGCGACCGCATTCTAGTTACAAAAAATCTGCGTATATGTGTTGACTGCCATACTGCAATAAAATTTATGACTCTTATAACAAAGAGGGAGATAACAGTAAGAGATGCAAGTCGATTTCATCATTTTGAGAATGGAATCTGCAATTGTCGGGATTTCTGGTGAGAAAAAGAAAGTGTGGAGTTGCAGGTCTATCCATCGGTAAAATTTCTTCTTCTTGTGCCACTTGCAAGTCTATTCATTGATTATTTACTGCGATAGTTTTAAACTAACAACTAGCAGTAATATAGGGCACCAACTTGTCATTCACATTTGCATTTTCACTGCCTCATTTTTATTCTTTTTTCTTTGTAGTTCTTGTCTTTAATATATTCAGTTTGGCATTTCAGTGACTCTAACCAAAGCTTTTCTTTTGTGTCTCATTTTTGCAGAATACTAGCAGGCCAGTCTCTGAAACCTAGCAAACCAGAATTTGGGCCTTTCTATTTATCTGTGGTAACGACTATAATTCCTAACGAGTGATTCTCTGTAAATTGAAGTCTTCAATATGATTATATGAACGTCACAAAACATTTGCTATATGTTTCCAATTCCATTCTTGCTATGTAGCTTTTCATCTCACTTCAATGATACTAAAGGTCCATAAAAATGAGATACGCTACAAGCAGTATAGTATGACTATATATCATTGCTAGGTACTCTTTGAAGAAAATAGTTAATTGATACAACAGTTGGCATTACCACTGGCAGCTTGCCCTTTGTGGTTTTATCAAGAATTAACTATTCTTTCTGTAGTTATTAAAATTGTTTTTGCTTTGTAAAAACACTTTGTAATTTGATCAAGGTCCACTACTATGTATTTCTTTTGGACTCTGAGTAGAAGAGATGGTGAGGCTTGCTGCTGACTTATTATGGAAAAGCCCTCATTTATTCAATGCAATTAAAGAGGGTGAATTAGGTCTTTGAGGAATTCCTATCCCCCTTACTCTTTCCATCTGTCTTATTTTCTCTAATTGTCAATTGAGAACATGTTTATGATATCATTGGCTGGTAACAAGATGGCTGTAATTGAAATCTTAGGTGCTAATGAGGTGTGAAATTTAATGTTATTGCCTTCCTTTTAGTTTCCCCTTATATTGTTGAGGCTTCTTTTCATGTGAACAGGTATATTATTATTGTTATTATTATTATTATTATTATTATTATTATTATTATTATTCAATGTTTATATGCTTCATTTTAAAACTTCATCTTGGTGTTCATAAATTTGAGTTCCTTTGTAATGGTTTTCTTGCAGGACCAATTTGACACCATAGATTTATTTGACAATGAGATTGTCAAACTAGAAAATGTGCCATATCTTAGCCGGTTGGGTACAATGCTCATTAACAACAATAGGATTACTAGAATTAATCCCAACATTGGAGCCTCAGTTTGAACTGAACTGCACATCCTCTCTTTCCATTAGAGACCTCTTTCGTTCTAGTTGTTAGCTACATTGTGTTGCTCTGGCTTACTGAGCCATTTTTATTGCAGAGTTGTTGCGAAAATTACACACACTAGTTCTCACGGATAACATAATTGTAAACTTGGTAGAAATTGAACCTTTAGCATCCCTTCCAAAGCTGCAGTTTCTCAGTCTGCTAGACAACAATAATACAAAGAAAGCAAATTACAGGCTTTATGTTATTAACAAGCTGAAATCCCTCTGGGTTTTAGATTTCAAGAAAGTGAAAAATAAGGTAACTTTTTTCTTTTTCCCTATGTAGATTTTGTTGGTAAGGTTTGCGTTGAATTAGAAAATAGATTTGTTGTTCAATTATAAAATCTGGATTTTAAGTTTGAGAAACAGAACTACCACTGGCTTGCACTGAGCACCAAGTCCAAGTGTGGAAATTTTACTACATATAGCTGTAGAACTAGTCATGTTAATTTTGATTGTCATACTCATGCTTAACATGATATTGAAATTATTATAATTAATATGATAGGATCATTTATAACTAATGAACTGTTGGTAGAGGGGTGATCTGATGGGTAACTCTCCTATGAAATGTCTCATGTGCCATTGGAGCTCAGAATCACTGACATGTTTTCAGTTTCTGTCATCAGTTGGTAATTTCTGGCCTGGGATATGTAGGCTTGAATATTTGTCATGTGGGTTGGATTATTTTTAGGTTTGTCATAAATTGAGGAGTTCCTCTGGATTTTCTTTAGTGGTTTGGGAAAAGAGGGACATTGTTGAGATTTCTTATCATCTGGTCTTTGGATTCTTGGTATGATATTTTTGTTGTTATTTTCATGTTTCATTATATCATATGTTCAAACTTAAAAGTTCTTATCTTTATGATTTAAATTAAGGGATTGGTTTACATTGGTGACAAACGTGACATTCTTGCACCATTCAATAACTTTAGTATGGTTTTTACTGGTCAAACTGTTCAATTATAACTCCTTTACTATGAAAGTTTGTGTCAAAGTTTGTAAAAATTGGTCAAAAATAAGAATATTATTATGCAGTTATTATTTTAATATATATCAATATATCGTAATTTATGTATATCAATGAAATACTTATTAAATAAATATGGTTTGAATATTTACATAGTTCCTTAATTTTTATAACTTTTTTGCACTGTTGCAGACTCCTCTGTCGTTACTTGCTTGAATGGTTTCTGCTATAGCTATATTTGTAAAATGATAATACCAATAACCATATTAAATTTTTAAGCCTTCTATTTATGTATGGTAACAACTATAATTCCTTAAGAGTGATTATATGGAAATTGATGCCTTCAATATGAGTGTTGTGTATTGTTTTCACTTGTTTCGGGAGTGTACATTGTCTCTGAAGTGATATAAATTTTCTGTTTCTGTACACTTAAAAGAAGAAAAATTGTCTTATCAATTTTTTCTAACTGAACTGCCACTTCCACCTAAATGTTTATATAACTTAAAAATTACCATCTTTATATTGATTTGGGTCTATTGTCACCCCTGTTGTTGCTGAGTGGTGTTTGTTGCATCTATAAGCAAGTCTTGGCAACTGCAAATTAACATGAAACCAAATTGCCACAAATAGGAATAGATTCTATAAATTATATGAACCATGTATATTGTGCATTCTAAGAATACCATTGACCGCAGAGAATCGTCATCCTTAGTGTTCCTAGTTCCCTAAATTAGTTAAAAGATAACGAATTATTTACAATTAAGGGTTAAGATTCAAAATTCTTTCTCTCTGACTTTAGAGAATCCTCATTATTTGTCTTAAGAAAGCTACAATCTGTTCATTTCAAGACCCCAGGTGCATTCTGGTAACGGGCAAGTCTCAATTGAGGTGTGGTCTGTTTTGAATTTTATGGTGTAATTGTGGGCACTTATATATATGACTATTTGGTATTGGATTTGAATATTCAATGAGATTGTTGTGTACTTCAACTTTGAAGTGCATGATGTCACTTATAGGGTTTAGGGTTTAGGGTTTAGGGTTTAGGGTTTAGGGTTTAGGGTTTAGGGTTTAGGGTTTAGGGTTTAGGGTTTGGGGTTTAGGGTTT